TATATATAAATCAAACTCACTGCCGTCAAGTCAATTCTGACTCATAGAGACCCCTCCTTGGGTTTCCGAGGCAGTATCTCTACGGAAGTAGATTGCCTAGTTTTCCTTCTGAGGTGTGGCTGGAGAGTTTGAACCACCAGCCTTCTGGTTAGCAGTCAACTGCTTTATAATGTGTGTGTGTGTGTGTGTGTGTGTATATAATATAATTATACATATAATCTATATATATAATTTGAGTTAATCTCAAGAATCCCTTGATCTGTTTCATTGCTATTCATATTTTTTTACTTGAGATTAACTCAAATTATATATAGAGATTATTATTATTTTAACAGGAAAAGGTGTTTACTTAACACTTTAGATACCTTACATACATGTGTTTTATCTAGCATTTATTAAAAACAAAGTTTTAGAGAAACAGTACTTTCTGAAATGTCCTTATTCACTGTATTTAAGAGATAGAAACTATATCTTACTCATTTTTATATCCCCACCACCTATTTCAGACCTAACTCAAAGTTGTTTAAGAAGTATGAAAAACTTAAACTCACTGAACATGTTATCTTTTATTTCTTAAAATGGAGTAAAAGGTAGAGGTTTGCCTGGAAGGAAGTGAAAAAGAGGGCAGAATGATGGCAAGAAGGAAAAGAGAAAAGAGGGAGGAGGAGGAAGAAGAAAGCCATCAGAAAGAAACGAAGGCTTGTGAAATAACTTGGCACAGGAAGACTCACTGAAATTCACCAAGTCCATGGGGTGGCGGGGAGACACTTTCTTAGATTAGACATGAAGGCACAACATCTTTCATTTTCAGCATAATGAATTTGTTTTGCATCATTGCACATTAAATGTGTAGTTAGCTACATACTAATTTTTACTGCCAGCAATCGGCACTTAAAATAAGGGAAAATTAAAAAGAAGAAAATAGCTGACTAGGTTTTTAAAAACAATCCAGGAGTAGAAGAGCTGAAAAGCGCAAAATAAAAATAATTAGAGAAGGTCTGATGCCTTCAAGGATCAGTAAGACCATCTTCCATTGTCCCAACTCTTTCAGTAAGTCTTAAGTTTTCTTTAGGCTACTTTTGACCCCTCAACTCATTCTAGATGAACTTTTTTGCCCAGGCTTGCTTCGTCTGCCTCAAATATAAAAACTCATTTAGTTGCTGTAATCACACTTTGAACTTGTCATACCAGGAACTTACAGGGTCTACAAAGTCGACAGCTACTGATTGGCCTAAAGCAGCCCCAATTGCTTCCAGTGCACACACGTAGTCAGTGACCTACCTACAGAGTTGCTTTCTTAGACAAAGTCAATATTTTTTGTAACAATATAGAGGAAACTAATGTAAGCACAGTTTCAAATGTAAATGGAGTTCTGCAATCTGACATCTGTTTAACTTCTAGGCTTCTAACTTCTATTTCAAAAAACTACAGGAGACATCCTCATCCATTTGCTTTAATAACAAGAAGTGAAGTCAACTGGGCATCAATTATTTAATCTGTTCATTTTACTCATTCCATAATCATTGAACATCTGTTACGTGTTCTGGAGATACAATGATGCACAATACTCATCTGTTCTGTTATTCAGGCAAGGCGGAGTTGAGGGATAGACAAAGAGATCAAACACCCCACGTATTTCCTGGATCTGAACACTTGCACAGCTTACACTCCACACATGATATCTCTAACCATTCAGTTCTTGGTAGAAAGGCAAAAAGTTACAACGTAAAGAACCTAAATTCTAGAGCTGAGACCATGGTTTCAAGTTCTGGTACTGTAGTTATTGGCTGTGTGACGTCTCTGAGTTACATTCCTTTATTCAACAATAAATATTTATCAAGTTGCTTACAATGTGCCTAGCTTCCAATACCTTATCTGTAAGATGAGCCCACCACAGTTCTCTCTCACAGGTAGGAAGAGGAAGTGTACATAAATTGCCTAGGCCAGGACCCGCCACTGGGAGAGACATTGATAAATGACAGTTACTGTCATTGTTACTATTGTCCATTACACATTCTATGCCAAGGATACAAAGATGACTAAGACAGAATCTAGTCCTAAAAGCCTGTAGGACCTGGTAGGGGAGCAGTTAATTTCAGTATCATGTACAAGTACTGCAACACAGGTCACTAAAGATGAGCTCTTAATCCCTAACACACAATTATTTTATTCTAAACTCATTTCAAAGGTCCCATTCCCCCTGAAAGGCTGTTTAGAACAAATTGAATAGGGAAATGATGCCATCCCCAAATAGATCTGGTAAAAAAGAAAAGAGGAAAAACAAACAGCTAGGATTTATATTATCTTTGACTCTCTAAATATTTTTTCTAATTATTCATAAAAAAAAATAAGAAGAAAAGTTTGCTGCTGGCCTTAGTAACTCCAGATAGCATATTCACTCAGTTCCAGGGGGTGAGGGTGGGCTGGATTCAAGACATTAGAGAAAAACAGAACATTGAAACTATTAAATTTGTTTGTTGGTTTTGCTTGTTTGTTTGTTTGTTTTTAACTTTTTATTGGGATAAGGATGGAAGTTTACAGAGAAAATCATTAGTTTTGCATTCAACAATTCATGCACATTTTTTTTCATGTCATTGAATGCAATCCCCTCAGTGTAACATCACTCATTCCACTTCCTCCCTGTGTTCCCCATTCTTTTCCTCCTTCTTTCCTAGCCCTTCCTGCTTTCTGAACTTTGTCCTTGGACAAATGCTGCCCTTTTGACCTTCAATAGTTTATTGTTCTATGGAGTGCTACCTCACTAGTGTTATTGTTCAGCTGAAAATTGAGCCACAGGGGTTAGTTCAGCTCTAAGTAATAAAATGATGAAAATCTGAAGGATGTCACTCTGGCAGGAAAAATATGTCCATTATTGTTTCTAAGGATGTCTGAGACTTCCCTTCCCAATCCAAAATATAAAAGCAATGCCTTCATTTTCTGTTTACCTGAAGAGTATTCTGGTCAATGACCTGGAAAAGGGAGTGAGGCTTATTATCAAACGATACAGGCCGGTGGAGAAGACTGCCGCTGCCAAAAGCAACCCAGCCCGGCTCCAGCTCCTCGTTCCGGCAGTACACAAAACCTCTGTGGAAGAGAAAGGGACGCAGGCTGAGTGACAGCGCTCTTTCTGAGACAGACACAGACAATACTTCCTACCTGGTGGTGCAGTGGTTAAGGCATTCAGCTGCTAACCAAAAGGTTGGTGGTTCGAACCCACCAGCTGTTCCACAGGAAAAAGATAAGGCACTCTGTTTCCATAAAGATTTACAGCCTTGGAAAGCCTATGGGGCAGTTCCACTCTATCTTCTAGGGTCACTACGAGTTGGAATCAAGTCAGTGGCAGTGGGTTTGACTTTTTAGGCTTAATCTGAAGAAATGACCCAAGGATGCAAAACATTTGAGGAGAGTGAGCATATTATGTTAACTCTGGGGCTGACAAACTATGGCAAATGTTAAGTTTTCACAATTAATTAGAGAGGAGAAAAAGTTGGGGCAAAAGCCTAAGTAAATATATACCATGATCTCAAACTGTGGTTTCTTTTGGTAACAATTCATAGATTTTATATCTCAACTGAAAATCACTGCTAATTCAATGTCAAATCCAAAAACAAAAATATTTAACTAGAATAGTTTCCATTTATCACCATGGAGAAGTCACTGATATTGTTACAGAAATTCTGATCACAGAGCAATTTCTGGCTGGAAACAATGATTGCGGTACCTCTAAATCAGAGTCAAGACAAAGTTAAAATGTACTAAGACAGAGCACGAAGAAGGGGGAAGGGTGGCAATAAGAGAAAAGGAATGGCTTCCTGTGATTTGATTCAGACTTGTTATTAGTTACTAATCTACTGGGAGTCAATGTGTAGCCCCAGGCATTATCTTCACAACTATCAACATATAGAGGAAAATGTTGCAGCCAAATCATTCAGCAAGTTCCATGCAACTGACCTGAGTGTACCATGTAATCCAGATCCCAATTTGCTTACTCCTCTTCCAACTGAGTTAGTCGTGTACAGGTAAAGGCCGTCTGCCGTGAGACAGCGTCCCAGGTCAGCATCTGAAAGCAGTTTCCACAGGTAAATTATCCACATGCTTTTTCTAATGAAAAGGCTTTAAGAGGTTGCGTGAAAGATAATTTCCTACTTCTTAAATAAGAGCTTCAATGTGATTTCCAGGGAATACAACTCATAAACCCTGAAGTCAAGGACCCAAAATGCATGTGGGATAGAGGACTAGGATCAGGCAAAGAGGTAAGAAATGGTTATCAGTGGGAGAACATGGTTCAGCCTGCCAAAGAGTTTGTCCTTTCTTTTTTTGAAAAGAATAATACTGAGTCAATTTTAAGCATCCCTTATTCTAACTGGAAATAATAAGACTTTTTTTTTTTTTTTTTTTAAATGAATAAGACTTTTATCAGTGATAGTATAGAATGGAAGCCATGAGCTTTCAAGTGCCTTGGGCACTTACAAGGTGACCCTGGACCACTCTGGGCTTCAGTTTCTTCATCTGTAAGATGAGTATAGTAATATATGCTTTAAGGGTTATTGTGATGGTTAAGTGAGATAATATTGGTAATACACCTGATACTACTTGGTACAAAGAAAGCCAGTGCTCCATGAATGGTGAATGACACGATGTTAATATACTGATGACGTGCATTGAGTTAAAATCTGCTTCTGCAGGTTTTTCACAACACAGCACAAAAGAATAGCATGTCTTCTATTGAAAAATAGCAGTTACTTTTCCCCTTAGCTAAGTCTTCCCAAAGCTAAAAAAAAACAGTATCTTTCCATATGATATTAAATGCTAACTGACATTTTATAGAATGTGCCTTAAAGAGAGCGTACAGATACAACCATGATTGTTAATTTTCAACAACATTCCACTCACAATATGAATGCTATTTGTCTATCTGAAGCCTATCATACTTGTCTGGAGGAAACTGAATGTCACACCATTCAAATTAGTACTGAATGTGCTGTCACCTTAAACATTCAGTTCACTAATCTGAGACAAATGGGACCTAAAAATATTGGTTCAAAAAAAAAAAATTAAGTAGGAAATAATTTTTTTACTATTAATTTCATACCTTAAACATTTTATTTTAGCCTAAAATTTATAAATATACATTTATTCACCAATTTTAGATGAAGGCCCAAGATCTTTTGAGTTTGGGTCTGGCCAAAGGTGGCAGTAAAGAGACTAGATTAATCTGACTGGCCAGGGATATTCTTTCAACTTCTATATGTTAATTGCTTCCGTGTTAAAAGTTACATAAGATTATCTTTAAATTCTTATAAGGAAAACATCCTCCCCAAGAAGCAAAACCAAAGGTGCAGCAGAGAGAGAAACGACTGCCATTGTCCTCAGGGAGAAACTTCCCCGGGAGAGGCACAGAGAGGACAGAGAGAGATAGAAGAGGGTTTCTGGTTTTGCGTGAAGATGTAAATCTGAGCCCATAAGGTCTGAGAAGCTCTCGGAGATCGAGGACTTTTGCTTCTCCTACTGATTCTGGTGGAGCCGTGAAGGTCATAAAATCGCATACACAAAGTCCTGCCTATTCCTCTCACCAGTCTCACGTGACGGTGTGGGAGAAATGGTGGACTGTGTATGGGCACAGTTCCTGGGATAAGAGATGCAAGGGTGGCCTGTCGCTTAGACTGGGCTCCACGTCTGTACAGATGCCCAGGAAGACTGCCTCTATCGAGAGTGGGAAACAAAGGGGTGTACAGGACAGAAGAGGCTCTCAATACCACACCTAATGAACATCGATTTTCTCAGCAACTTGCTTTTGTTGAGTCTTTCTAAAACATTTAACTTTTTAAATGGAGGCCATTTCTTGTTTTGTTTTCTTGCATCTCATTGATTATGTAGTATTTAACGATATAATCACAACAACAAGTAGCAATGACAAGGGGACACTTGGTAAGCCTGAAACTGCTGCTGGGGGCAGATGTGCCCAGATATGTAGGCGGGGCCTCCTAGCCAAGGGTCCGTGTGCCTCAGCACTGCAGATGTGTTTCACTCTGCGACTGGACAGGCCTGATGCACCTGCCAAGTCAGTGAAGTCGAGGTCAATTAAGGGAGCCTCCGACATATTCACAGAAATAAGTGACTTAAACTGCTGTGAAACTGCAAAACATTTCAATCCAGCCCACATATGTTTAAAAGAGACACGAAAGGATTCATTCATGCACACTTGAATCATTTCATTTTTTTGCTTTTAGGACTCAAGGGCTCAAAAACACATATGATACATTACTAAATTACTAAAAGAAACTGTATCAAGCAGCAAGAGCCGATACTCTTATTAGCAGACAAAAACTTTTACTTTCAGCCTCCCATGGCCAAACTCAAATGCCCAGAGACCAGTTGAAATAATTCATGCCTCCTTGGCAGGGGGGTATATGGATGGTACCTTTCTTTTCCACAGTAAAACCTACCCATCTTCTTATCTCACAGGGCATCAGCTTTTATACTTTTCCTGATAACACAGACAATGAGTTGACCTCCACTTCACTGACTTGGCAGGCGAATCAGGCCTGTCCAATCGCAAGTGAAACAGACATCTGCAACGCTGAGCTACACAGACCCTTGGCTAGGAGGCCCCGCCTACATGTCTGGGCACATCTGCCCCAGCAGCAGTTTCAGGCTTACCAAGTGTCCGCTTGTCATTGGTACTTGTTGTTGTGATTATATCATTAAATATTACATAATCGATGAATTGTAATTATAATTGTACAGGAATTGTGAACTTTTAATGAAAAGGAACACACAGAGTTATGTCTAAATTCTTTGCCACAATGATCTAAAACCATTTTCTTTACATCTTAATAAAAATCCCAGGACAAAACTCACATTACCTTTATTTTCAGAACTGGAGCCAGTGTTGCTATCTGGTGCCGGCAACATGTCTTCATACCCCCATGATACTATGTGTTTGCCACCAAGCAAACAGGAAGGTGATCCAGGTCCCCCCTCCAAAAGCAGTAGCCTACAAAAGGAGAAGAAGAATCACAAAGACTCTGAGACTATCCATTTCGGCAAGAAAGTAAGTCTACCTGCACCTCAAAGAGCAGAAAACTAAGATAGCTTTATACAAAATACATCTGGAAAGATAATTACCACATATTTTAAATTAAAAAGGAAGACTACAAAACTGCTTGTAGAAATGTTATAACTGTAAAAAATATCCATCTATATATTTTTTTTCTTTTATTGTGATTTGGGTGGAAGTTTACGGAGCACATTCACATTCCATACAGCAGTTCATACACATTTTGTTTCATGCCACTGA